CCTTCATGCTGAAAGCTAAATGATTGCAAAATTTCAAATTTAACATTTTCTTACACCTATTTTTATTTTAAAATAACTTAAAATTTTTGTTTTGCTAGATTTTTGTAGCTTAATTTAATTAAATAAGCTTTACCGATTGATATATTTCTCGAGAAAAATTTTTATAATTTTTGCAATCTGATATAAAAATTTGACTTTAGTGATAAATTTATAATTGATATAAACTGTTATCATATCTCTACTAGCCAAGCCAATAAGTGTTAAATTTTTCATCTAATGTTACCTAAGTTTCAAAAGCAGAATTTTATATTTATATTTTTAGCTTAAATTATATTTTTGTCAAATTAATTTTTTCATTTAATTAAGAAAAGTTTATTATTTAAAAAAATTCCATTCAGTTTTAATAGTTTCAAATAATTACAGCTATCAGTTTTACGTAATTTATGCATATTTTAACAATTTCAGCAGTTTTATGCTTATATTTGAATTTATAATTTTAATTTTGCGCTCAAATCTTTTTTAGAATAATTGATTCGTGATAATATGAAGTTATTATCAGAACTATATTTGATAACTTTTAAAAATAACTAATTAATTGATAACTAGTAAAACTGCTATAGAATCCTAATTATTATTGATTAAATCTATTAGATTCAAAACATTTGCTGTTAAACTGAATGAAATTATGAGAAATTTAATATAATTTTTTTTTTTTTTTGCTCATTAAATCATTAAATGATCAATGCCGCATTCTTTAAAAGCATTAATTGATTCAACTGATTTAATCAATATTATCAAATCAGTGTAAATAATTTACCAATATTATCATATCACAATATCAATGTAATTTAAGTAGATTAAGGATATTAAATGTTAAATTATTTTTATAATATCAATATTCTATCAGTTATAATCAGTGTGACATTTTTGTGACAATTTCTCCTTTCCTAAATTCATTTGCATTCAAATGAAAGCACTTTTAATGATTTGTTAATTTATCAATTTTTTTTTTCTTAAACGCTCTTACGCTGATCACACAGCTAATTGATAAATAACACATTTCAATTGTTTAGCTGATAAGATATATCAAAATGAACTTTTATAAGATTGATCTGAACATCTTAGCTAAATCATTCATTTATTTTCAAATTAATTTTTATTATCATAAACAACCAACAATTTAATTCTATTAATTTCATTCTTTGTCTTTCACAGTTTTTTTTTCCTAAAATTTAATCATTTCCCATCCATTAAATCAATTAATCTATTTGATAATAATAAATCAATCTTATGTGCAACAAATAATTCTTTTTTTTTTTTTTATCTCATAAATCGATTTGAAAATTGATTTATTATTATCAGTGTGTTTCAATCAGTTACAAAAGTGACAAAAAATATTCACAAACATTTCAAATTTTTCCGACTTAAAATTTTCAAAATAATTTTTTATCACTTGTGCTTAATTTAAAAAAAAAAAAAAAAAAAAAACTTATTTTCTTACATATTTTATCAATTCATAAAATTTCAAATTTTCATAAGAACTTTTTTTTTTTGAAAAAGAAAGAAAAGAAGATGTATAACTGTATTATAATGTAATTTCATATCACAAAAATTATCCTATTATAATGAAAAATCAAATGAAATAATATATCATTGACATATAAATAGCAAACAAAATTAATTATCATATTAAATTAAAATTTGAAATTAGGAAAAAGAGAACAATTCATTTTATTAGTTATGTCACATTACTTTTATACAATTATTTCAATCAATACAAAAGTTTTTTTTTAGTTTGATTCCATTTCAATCAACATATATAATAGTTTGATTCCATTTCAACATATATCATATTCGATACATTTATTTATTTTATAATTATTATACTTCCCAGAACAATTTTCCCAAAAACTTCAGCTAGAAAATCAAAATTTATTACTTTTTCTAAAATATTTGAGCTATTATACAAGATAAACAATATTACATTCCAAATATTCTAAATTAAATAATACCAAATAGATATCCTTAAACATGCTAGAATTCCACATGCTAGAATAAATTTAAATAAAGCATAACCATTTAAATATCACCAAAAAAAAAGTATAGTAATTTAAGTAGACAAATTTTGAAAAAAAAAAAAAAAAAAGGTATGACATATATTAGTAGTTAAATTTGAAAGGTAGCAATAATAACAATAACAGTAACAATATTTACCAAATTCTTTGAAACTTTAAAAGAAAATTAGTTTTTCTTAAAAAAGAAAAAATATTTTTTCAATTTCATTAATTTTATTACTTTTTCTAAAATATTTGAGCTATTATACAAGATAAACAATATTACATTCCAAATATTCTAAATTAAATAATACCAAATAAATATCCTTAAACATGCTAGAATTCCACATGCTAGAATAAATTTAAATAAAGCATAACCATTTAAATATCACCAAAAAAAAAAGTATAGTAATTTAAGTAGACAAATTTTGAAAAAAAAAAAAGAAAAAAAAAGGTATGACATATATTAGTAGTTAAATTTGAAAGGTAGCAATAATAACAATAACAGTAACAATATTTACCAAATTCTTTGAAACTTTAAAAGAAAATTAGTTTTTCTTAAAAAAGGAAAAATATTTTTTCAATTTCATTAATTTCATCATTTTTAAATGAATATTTTTTGTTTCGCTGATTTTTTTTAACTAATCTAATTTAGGTACTAAATAGTTTAATTGATTCTTTTATTCTATATTATATTGCAACTAAAAAATAAAAAATTATTTCATAATTTAATTTAATCACTGAGTTATTCAATTTATTATCATCAAAACAGATAGCAAACATGATTTTTTTTTTTGTAATTTTAGGTTTTTTTCTTTTTCTTTCCTATCATATTTTTTTGTTCTCATTTTTTTTTTTTTTTTTGTTAAGCAAGAAAACAAGACATAAAAATTCAATGAAATACCATACGGAAATTACATTTAAAAAAAAAAATTATTGATCATAAAACTTTCAATAGCCTTTGCAATTTTAACTTTTTATTTTGTTTTTGTCCTTTTATCTCTTTCTTTTCTGGTCGTTTTAATTCTAGAAAAATTCATTCAGAAATTTATTCAGCCCTCATCGCTCCGCTACCACCCCCGCGCCTACAGGCCACGCCTTCGTCGCCCCGCCCCTAATACGCTTGCTTGACCACGCCCTTTTCGCCCCGCCTCCGCCACGCCCGCATGGCCACGCCCCTTTTCGTCCCGCCCCCCGCCATTACTGCACCTCTTATCACTGTACCTCTTATCACTGTACCTCTTATCACTGTACCTCTTATCACTGTACCTCTTATCACTGCACCTCTTATCACTGTACCTCTTATCACTGCACCTCTTATCACTGTACCTCTTATCACTGTACCTCTTATCACTGTACCTCTTATCACTGCACCTCTTATCACTGTACCTCTTATCACTGCACCTCTTATCACTGTACCTCTTATCACTGCACCTCTTATCACTGTACCTTTTATCACTGCACCTCTTATCACTGTACCTCTTATCACTGCACCTCTTATCACTGTACCTCTTATCACTGTACCTCTTATCACTGTACCTCTTATCACTGTACCTCTTGGTACCGCACCTTTTGGTACCGTACCTCTTGTTACCGCACCTTTTGGTACCGTACCTCTTGGTACCGTACCTTATGGTACCGTACTTTTTGTTATTGTACCTCTTGTTACCGTACCTTTTATCACCGTACCTCTTGGTACCGTACCTTTTATCACCGTACCTCTTGGTACCGTACCTTTTGGTACCGTACCTCTTGTTACCGCACCTTTTGGTACCGTACCTCTTGTTACCGCACCTTTTGGTACCGTACCTCTTGGTACCGTACCTTTTATCACCGTACCTCTTGGTACCGTACCTCTTATCACTGTACCTCTTGGTACCGTACTTTTTGTTATTGTACCTCTTGTTACCGTACCTTTTGGTACCGTACCTCTTGGTACCGTACCTTTTATCACCGTACCTCTTGGTACCGTATTTTTGTTATTGTATCTTTTGGTACCGTATCTTTTGTTGATGTACCTCTTGTTACCGTACTTTTTATCACTGTATCTCTTGGTACCGTACCTCTTATCACTGTACCTCTTGGTACCGTACTTTTTGTTATTGTACCTCTTGTTACCGTACCTCTTGGTACCGAACCTCTTGTTACCGCACCTTTTGGTACCGTACCTCTTGGTACCGTACCTTTTATCACCGTACCTCTTGTAACCGTACCTTTTTATCACTGTACCTCTTGGTACCGTACTTTTGTTATTGTACCTCGTGGTACCGTATCTTTTATTACTGTACCTCTTATCACTGTACCTCTTGGTACCGTACTTTTTGTTATTGTACCTCTTGTTACCGTACCTTTAGTACCGTACCTCTTGGTACCGTACCTTTATCACCGTACCTCTTGGTACCGTACTTTTTGTTATTGTACCTCTTGTTACCGTACCTTTTGGTACCGTACCTCTTGGTACCGTACTTTTATCACCGTACCTCTTGGTACCGTACCTTTTATCACCGTACCTCTTGGTACCGTAATTTTTGTTATTGTATCTTTTAGTACCGTATCTTTTGTTAATGTACCTCTTGTTACCGCACCTTTTATTATTCTACTTCTTGGTACCGTACTTTTTGTTATTGTACCTCGTGGTACCGTATCTTTTATTACTGTACCTCTTGGTACCGTACCTCTTGTTACCGTACTTTTTATCACTGTATCTCTTGGTACCGTACCTTTATCACTGTACCTCGTACCGTACTTTTCTTATTGTACCTCTTGTTACCGTACCTCTTGGTACCGTACTTTTTGTTATTGTACCTCGTGGTACCGTATCTTTTATTACTGTACCTCTTGGTACCGTACCTTTTATCACCGTACCTCTTGGTACCGTAATTTTTGTTATTGTATCTTTTGGTACCGTATCTTTTGTTAATGTACCTCTTGCTACCGTACTTCTTGTTACCGTACTTTTGTATCACTGTATCTTGGTACCGTACCTCTTATCACTGTACCTCTTGGTACCGTACTTTTTGTTATTGTACCTCTTGTTACCGTACCTCTTAGTACCGAACCTCTTGTTACCGCGCCTTTTGGTACCATATCTTTTGTTAAAACGGTGATAGGAAGTACGGTACCAAGAGATACAGTGATAAAAAGTACGGTAACAAGAGGTACGGTACCAAGAGGTACAGTAATAAAAGATACGGTACCACGAGGTACGGTGATAAAAGGTACGGTACCAAGAGGTACGGTACCAAAAGGTACGGTAACAAGAGGTACAATAACAAAAAGTACGGTACCAAGAGGTACGGTGATAAAAGGTACGGTACCAAGAGGTACGGTACCAAAAGGTACGGTACCAAGAGGTACGGTACCAAAAGGTACGGTAACAAGAGGTACAATAACAAAAAGTACGGTACCAAGAGGTACAGTGATAAGAGGTACGGTACCAAGAGGTACGGTGATAAAAGGTACGGTACCAAGAGGTACGGTACCAAAAGGTGCGGTAACAAGAGGTACGGTACCAAAAGGTACGGTAACAAGAGGTACGGTACCAAAAGGTACGGTACCAAGAGGTACGGTGATAAAAGGTACGGTAACAAGAGGTACAATAACAAAAAGTACGGTACCATAAGGTACGGTACCAAGAGGTACGGTACCAAAAGGTACGGTACCAAAAGGTACGGTACCAAGAGGTACGGTGATAAGAGGTACAGTGATAAGAGGTACAGTGATAAGAGGTACAGTGATAAGAGGTACAGTGATAAGAGGTACAGTGATAAGAGGTGCAGTGATAAGAGGTACAGTGATAAGAGGTGCAGTGATAAGAGGTACAGTGATAAGAGGTGCAGTGATAAGAGGTACAGTGATAAGAGGTGCAGTGATAAGAGGTACAGTGATAAGAGGTGCAGTGATAAGAGGTACAGTGATAAGAGGTACAGTGATAAGAGGTACAGTGATAAGAGGTGCAGTGATAAGAGGTGCAGTGATAAGAGGTGCAGTGATAAGAGGTACAGTGATAAGAGGTGCAGTGATAAGAGGTACAGTGATAAGAGGTACAGTGATAAGAGGTACAGTGATAAGAGGTACAGTGATAAGAGGTACAGTGATAAGAGGTACAGTGATAAGAGGTGCAGTAAGGTGGCGGGGCGGGACGAAAAGGGGCGTGGCCATGCGGGCGTGGCGGAGGCGGGGCGAAAAGGGCGTGGTCAAGCAAGCGTATTAGGGGCGGGGCGACGAAGGCGTGGCCTGTAGGCGCGGGGGTGGTAGCGGAGCGATGAGGGCTGAATAAATTTCTGAATGAATTTTTCTAGAATTAAAACGACCAGAAAAGAAAGAGATAAAAGGACAAAAACAAAATAAAAAGTTAAAATTGCAAAGGCTATTGAAAGTTTTATGATCAATAATTTTTTTTTTTAAATGGAATTTCCGTATGGTATTTCATTGAATTTTTATGTCTTTTTTTCTTGCTTAACAAAAAAAAAAAAAAAAAAAATGAGAACAAAAAATATGATAGGAAAGAAAAAGAAAAAAAACCTAAAATTACAAAAAAAAAAAAATCATGTTTGCTATCTGTTTTGATGATAATAAATTGAATAACTCAGTGATTAAATTAAATTATGAAATAATTTTTTATTTTTTAGTTGCAATATAATATAGAATAAAAGAATCAATTAAACTATTTAGTACCTAAATTAGATTAGTTAAAAAAATCAGCGAAACAAAAATATTCATTTAAAAATGATGAAATTAATGAAATTGAAAAAATATTTTTCTTTTTAAGAAAAACTAATTTTCTTTTAAAGTTTCAAAGAATTTGGTAAATATTGTTACTGTTATTGTTATTATTGCTACCTTTCAAATTTAACTACTAATATATGTCATACCTTTTTTTTTCTTTTTTTTTTTTCAAAATTTGTCTACTTAAATTACTATACTTTTTTTTTTGGTGATATTTAAATGGTTATGCTTTATTTAAATTTATTCTAGCATGTGGAATTCTAGCATGTTTAAGGACATCTATTTGCTAATATTTAATTTAGAATATTTGGAATGTAATATTGTTTATCTTGCATTGTATAATAGCTCAAATATTTTAGAAAAAGTAATAAAGTAAAAAATTAGTAAAAAAAAAAAGTAAAAAATTATGTTACTTATAAATTTAGTCATTGCTATTTTCAATTATTAGCAATATTTGATTCTTGAATTTGCAATTCAATTTTAAGTAATCGAATATTAGCTCATATTTCAGATAATATATGCTAATCAATGGCAATCAATGCAACTAATAAATGATCAAAAAGCAATTCATTTTCGTCCTTTTTTTTTCTTTACATTTAGGAAAATTATCATTGAATAATAATCAGTTCAAAAAAAAAAAAAGCATTGATCATAGCTAATTGATCAAAATAACTGCAATCATTTAGAATCAAATCACGATCATTTTAGACAAATCAAAAAATGATTGTTTTAACTATCCAATAAAGCTAATAACAATTTTGTGGACAAATGTTCAATTATTTGACAAAATTTTCTTTGTCGCAAAAAAAAAAAAAAAAAAAAACTAATCATAAAATAACAATTGAACACTGAAAATAAATTGATAATTAATAATAATAATTAAATTTTTCTTATAAAATTCCTCGAGTATGAAATAACAAATTTTGTCACTTATTTTTTTTTTTAAATCCTGAAATTGGTAATAGTTGTAGTTCCTTCAAAATTTGAGAAATTTTGAAAAAGCAAAGATTATTTGTTATAAAAATGAGCAAATTTCAAAACATATTTATAATTAATTTCAGGATAAAAAATCCTATCAAGAATTTACATGTGGTTTGAATTTATAATCTTTTCAATTTTAATACCAATAATTTTTGAAATAGTTTTTAATATTACTTTAATTAAAAAAAAAATTTATTAAGTATTACTTTAATCAAAATCAAAAAATTGATTATATATTACTTTAATTTATTATATATTACTTTAATCAAAATCAAAAAGTTTAGCAATTAAGCTTACATATTACCTTCATGCTGAAAGCTAAATGATTGCAAAATTTCAAATTTAACATTTTCTTACACCTATTTTTATTTTAAAATAACTTAAAATTTTTGTTTTGCTAGATTTTTGTAGCTTAATTTAATTAAATAAGCTTTACCGATTGATATATTTCTCGAGAAAAATTTTTATAATTTTTGCAATCTGATATAAAAAATTTGACTTTAGTGATAAATTTATAATTGATATAAACTGTTATCATATCTCTACTAGCCAAGCCAATAAGTGTTAAATTTTTCATCTAATGTTACCTAAGTTTCAAAAGCAGAATTTTATATTTATATTTTTAGCTTAAATTATATTTTTGTCAAATTAATTTTTTCATTTAATTAAGAAAAGTTTATTATTTAAAAAATTCCATTCAGTTTTAATAGTTTCAAATAATTACAGCTATCAGTTTTACGTAATTTATGCATATTTTAACAATTTCAGCAGTTTTATGCTTATATTTGAATTTATAATTTTAATTTTGCGCTCAAATCTTTTTTTAGAATAATTGATTCGTGATAATATGAAGTTATTATCAGAACTATATTTGATAACTTTTAAAAATAACTAATTAATTGATAATTAGTAAAACTGCTATAGAATCCTAATTATTATTGATTAAATCTATTAGATTCAAAACATTTGCTGTTAAACTGAATGAAATTATGAGAAATTTAATATAATTTTTTTTTTTTTTTTGCTCATTAAATCATTAAATGATCAATGCCGCATTCTTTAAAAGCATTAATTGATTCAACTGATTTAATCAATATTATCAAATCAGTGTAAATAATTTACCAATATTATCATATCACAATATCAATGTAATTTAAGTAGATTAAGGATATTAAATGTTAAATTATTTTTATAATATCAATATTCTATCAGTTATAATCAGTGTGACATTTTTGTGACAATTTCTCCTTTCCTAAATTCATTTGCATTCAAATGAAAGCACTTTTAATGATTTGTTAATTTATCAATTTTTTTTTTCTTAAACGCTCTTACGCTGATCACACAGCTAATTGATAAATAACACATTTCAATTGTTTAGCTGATAAGATATATCAAAATGAACTTTTATAAGATTGATCTGAACATCTTAGCTAAATCATTCATTTATTTTCAAATTAATTTTTATTATCATAAACAACCAACAATTTAATTCTATTAATTTCATTCTTTGTCTTTCACAGTTTTTTTTCCTAAAATTTAATCATTTCCCATCCATTAAATCAATTAATCTATTTGATAATAATAAATCAATCTTATGTGCAACAAATAATTCTTTTTTTTTTTTTTATCTCATAAATCGATTTGAAAATTGATTTATTATTATCAGTGTGTTTCAATCAGTTACAAAAGTGACAAAAATATTCACAAACATTTCAAATTTTTCCGACTTAAAATTTTCAAAATAATTTTTTATCACTTGTGCTTAATTTAAAAAAAAAAAAAAAAAAAAAAAACTTATTTTCTTACATATTTTATCAATTCATAAAATTTCAAATTTTCATAAGAACTTTTTTTTTTTGAAAAAGAAAGAAAAGAAGATGTATAACTGTATTATAATGTAATTTCATATCACAAAAATTATCCTATTATAATGAAAAATCAAATGAAATAATATATCATTGACATATAAATAGCAAACAAAATTAATTATCATATTAAATTAAAATTTGAAATTAGGAAAAAGAGAACAATTCATTTTATTAGTTATGTCACATTACTTTTATACAATTATTTCAATCAATACAAAAGTTTTTTTTTTAGTTTGATTCCATTTCAATCAACATATATAATAGTTTGATTCCATTTCAACATATATCATATTCGATACATTTATTTATTTTATAATTATTATACTTCCCAGAACAATTTTCCCAAAAAAACTTCAGCTAGAAAATCAAAATTTATTACTTTTTCTAAAATATTTGAGCTATTATACAAGATAAACAATATTACATTCCAAATATTCTAAATTAAATAATACCAAATAGATATCCTTAAACATGCTAGAATTCCACATGCTAGAATAAATTTAAATAAAGCATAACCATTTAAATATCACCAAAAAAAAAAAGTATAGTAATTTAAGTAGACAAATTTTGAAAAAAAAAAAAGAAAAAAAAAGGTATGACATATATTAGTAGTTAAATTTGAAAGGTAGCAATAATAACAATAACAGTAACAATATTTACCAAATTCTTTGAAACTTTAAAAGAAAATTAGTTTTTCTTAAAAAAGAAAAAATATTTTTTCAATTTCATTAATTTCATCATTTTTAAATGAATATTTTTTGTTTCGCTGATTTTTTTTAACTAATCTAATTTAGGTACTAAATAGTTTAATTGATTCTTTTATTCTATATTATATTGCAACTAAAAATAAAAAATTATTTCATAATTTAATTTAATCACTGAGTTATTCAATTTATTATCATCAAAACAGATAGCAAACATGATTTTTTTTTTTGTAATTTTAGGTTTTTTTTTCTTTTTCTTTCCTATCATATTTTTTTGTTCTCATTTTTTTTTTTTTTTTTTGTTAAGCAAGAAAAAAAGACATAAAAATTCAATGAAATACCATACGGAAATTACATTTAAAAAAAAAAATTATTGATCATAAAACTTTCAATAGCCTTTGCAATTTTAACTTTTTATTTTGTTTTTGTCCTTTTATCTCTTTCTTTTCTGGTCGTTTTAATTCTAGAAAAATTCATTCAGAAATTTATTCAGCCCTCATCGCTCCGCTACCACCCCCGCGCCTACAGGCCACGCCTTCGTCGCCCCGCCCCTAATACGCTTGCTTGACCACGCCCTTTTCGCCCCGCCTCCGCCACGCCCGCATGGCCACGCCCCTTTTCGTCCCGCCCCCGCCATTACTGCACCTCTTATCACTGTACCTCTTATCACTGTACCTCTTATCACCGTACCTCTTATCACTGTACCTCTTATCACTGCACCTCTTATCACTGTACCTCTTATCACTGCACCTCTTATCACTGTACCTCTTATCACTGCACCTCTTATCACTGTACCTCTTATCACTGCACCTCTTATCACTGCACCTCTTATCACTGCACCTCTTATCACTGTACCTCTTATCACTGCACCTCTTATCAC